CAGCCAATGAGAGACAGTCACAGCTCAGCCAATGAGAAGCCACTGTACTTCCAACTCCCGCTTTACTTCAATGGACTCTGTTTGTAACAGCCCTCTGAACTCACCCTTTCCTCTATTGGAGAGAATTTCTCTCCTTTGTCCTAGGGACTTGCCTATGGTTTTGCTGTAGGTTGCTTGTCCCTGATTGCAATTCTCCCCTATTCCAGAACAGCCTTATTTTTAAGGTCAACAGGGGCTGGGGACTTCTTGGAGAACCACGTACCTTCCAGTAAGCAATATCCCTGCCATCCTCTGATATCCGCACATCACTCACCCCGCTGCTAATGGCACCCAGGACAGCATTTGGTCACCCACACAGAGGCCAGGTGAGCCATCGGGGCTCATGTCCCTCCAACAGTGCCAACCTCGCCTTTTTCTGCACTCCACCAGGCAGGCAGACTGGCTGTCTGAGACTTCACTGAGAAGTCAGGGGCCACCTAAGAGAATGGCAACCTAGGAGGGAAGGAATTCGACAAGCCTCGTTATATAGAGCTATTCCGTGCCCCGTGGGGAAAAAGCACGCAGCAAATTGCACCCTCAGAGGTGTTCCCTCCTGGGTGGCCCTCAGTTAGTAACCCTCCCCCCAACTTTCAGGTCTTACCCCCTTGGCCAGAGCACTTCTATCCTCTGCCCCCTGCCTCGTCAAATTGCCCTGACTTTCTAGAAACCCCACCATCCACATATGTATCTTCTCATCCACCCCCTTTCTTCAGCACTGGGTTCTCCATTCCAGACTCAGCCCAAGGCAGGGGCAGGACTGCCTAGCAGTTCAGTCCCTTGGAACAGTCCAGCGTGATGGTGGACACTGTGAATCAGGTCCTTCCGGGGTTCCAGATCTTCACTGTCCTCGTGTTTGTCCACATATTTGTCTTTATCACACACATGTCCTGCCTCCCTAGAACGAGCGTTAAATCAAACTCCATAAAGAAGAAAAAGAAGAAAAGAATTCCCCAACCACCTCACCATTTCTGAACGTCCTTGCCCATGTTGAAACACTTCTTATTCAAATGGAGAACAAGGTTAGCCCCTCTCTTCCCCTTCCCTGCTACCCCCCTCTGACAGCACTGAAAGTCTTCTAAATGGCAGGGTGGACCATAGTGAGATTGTGTCCTTCTTCACGGCTGTGCCCTTCGTTCCCGAAAGCCGGCCCAAAGCTCTGAAGCGATTAAGCCTTCAGACAAAGACGCACCAGCTTCCTGCCCTCCAGGTGCTGGGGAGAGAAGGGTGGTATGTCATTCTCACAGGATGGCCACATGGAGCCCTTCGGGGCTGCACCAGATACAGAGGATGTCATACTGTCTGAGAGCTGGAAGGTCCTGAGTCTTCCCTGATCTCACCGTGGCCGAGCCGGGAGCCCAGAGGCTCCTGTGAGGAACGCCCACCTCTGAACTCTGAACATCGGCTGGGGTTGGCCTGAGTAAGGGTAGAGGGGGCACTCAGGGAGGTCACTGCCTGGCCTCTGACCCCAGGTGCTCCCCCTTCCCCAAAGACACTGCCTAGACCCTTTCCTTGGAAGTTCACGCTGGGCAGAATCATCTGGGCCCAGAGCCATGGGACATCATGGCCAACAATGGCTGGTCTATGAGTGGTCGGACAGAGCAGTGGGGCCAGGGGGCGTGGCCACGGAGGGCCCCTGAGGGTCCACTGAGGAGCCCAGCCAGAGCCACACGAGGGGGAAGCCTGCTTCCAGTTTCTCCCACAGCCCGTGGAGAGCAGGGGAGCCATCTAGGCCGAGGAGGCCCCATGCAGGCCCGTGGGTACAGGCCTCGCTGCTCTCTTTGGGACCACAGGGCCACGAGAGAGGGTCTCTGAGAGGATCTGGGACAAGGAAGCTGAGCCACCCGATCCCACTGAGGGCCTGTCTGGGGGAAGCAGGCCACAGAGTGTGGGA